TATATATATATATATATATATATATATAACATGGTGTAAAACGAATTTATAAAATTTGAATATAATCAGTCAAAGCATTTAAGAGATATGGCTCTAGAAGCCCAATTATTAAAACAAAATGGCCGCCAGTCAGCTATTTTGAATCCAATCTGAAAAATAAAATGACATGCATCAGGAACCTGTAATGTCTAATGTGTGTTATAAGTTTGAACATAATCCATCCATAAATGCAAGAAATGTTTGATATTCGAGGATTTTTTCAGCACAAAAATAGCACACTTTGAAAAAGATCATCAAACCAATATATCCGTATATCTGTGACATGATGTATAATGAATATTAAAAATTTGAACATAATCAGACAAAACAAGTCAGACATATGGGTCTGGAAACCCATTCATTAAAACAAAATGGCCGCCAGACAGCCATTTTGAATCTGATCTGAAAAATAAAATGACGTGCATCAGGAACCCGTAATGTATAATGTATGTACCAAGTTTGAACGAAATCCATCCATAAATGCCAGAAATGCTTGATATTTGATGATTATTTAGAACAAAAATGGCTGCCATTCGGCCATCTTGAATCAGATCGTAAAACAAAATGATGTGCATCAAGGTCCTATAATGTCCAACGTATATACTAGGTTTGAACAAAATCCATCTGTAAACAACTGGGAAACGCTCGATTTTGATGATTTTTAGCACAAAAATGACCGCCATTCGGCCATCTTGAATCAGATCATGAAACAAATTGACGTGCATATGTATGATATCATGTATGATGTATGTGTGAAGTTTGATTGTGATTGGTCCAGGCATTTCTAAGATACAGGTCCGGATGCACGCATAGACGTCAAAACATAAGTCCCCGTTTTCGGACTGCGTCCGAACGGGGACTAAAAACCATACTAATAGACAACTCAGCAACTGGAACTCAGTACACAAGATTGTGAAGTTAGTTTTATGATACATGTACATGTACTAAAGTTTACATATGTGAGGCAAGAAGTTTGTTAATGAACTAAGATTACAAAATAAGTTTGTGCAATTTTCACAATTCAGAGTGTATTACATCAGTTGTGTTTACACAATATGTAATTTGAGACTTCATCAGGAAAATCATGTGTACACAAATATTCTAATTATATTAATTTTAATTTAATAAAAGTAATTTTCATTTGTTCCTGGTTATTTTACAGCTTATCAGGTAAATTTCATCCTTTGAGTGCCATTGTCAACATTTGGCACCATCTACTAAAAGATTTTGTATAGTCTGCTCTGCCTCACATGAAATGTTGATAAATTTAAAAAAAAACTTTTTGATCAAAAACAAAAACCACTAAAAGAAACTGTTCATATGGTTCAAAATTATGATGAAATTTCATGAAAATTTTTAAAATGTGAAAATATCTGCATTGAATTCTGGATGAAAAAACCCATCTTGCACTCAAAGGGTGAACATTTCACAGCAAGGTTGTTCCCATAACTATACATGTACATGTAGTTATGGTTATTACAGCTTTACATACATACAAAGTATGAAAATAAAAATAGCTTTAGTGAATATCGTTGTAGTATTACTAATGAACTGTATAATTATACATTGGTTGCTATGTAAACAATTGGGTTAATGATCTAATCAAAATCCTTACCCAAGGTAATCATTTCTAGTCAAATAGCTAATAATTAGGCAAACCAGAAGTGGAAGCCACCCTCCATTGTTCACTGTAAACTATCATTAGTTGCCATCGCAAAGCCAGCCATGGATGTAAGATTATAAGAAGTTGCTGCTAGGATAGAGGTACAAAACTAGGACTCAGTGTACCTTATAAAATCAATGGTGTAATGGACATGCTTTGAATTCAATCATATTATATCGCCTGCAAACCAAGTGCATTGAAATGTGCGGATATGAATACAGCAAATCATGTGTGTGGTCATGAAATCATACAGATGATTATGTTTCAGATGGATAAATAGGCAATAAAAGGATAGATGATGGAGACTATATGATCACAGTAGCATAATCATTTTTCAACATTCTGGTTTATCGGAGTGTTTGGACATGGTACATCTCTGACAGGATCTCAATGTTGAACTATTTTGATAGTCTGGACATGGTACATCTCTGACAGGATCTCAATGTTGAACCATTTTGATAGTCTGGACATGGTACATCTCTGACAGGATCTCAATGTTGAACTATTTTGATAGTTTGGACATGGTACATCTCTGACAAGATCTCAATGTTGAACCACTTTGATAGTCTGGACATGGTACATCTCTGACAGAATCTCAATGTTGAACCACTTTGATAGTCTGGACATGGTACATCTCTTACAGGATCTCAATGTTGAACTATTTTGATAGTCTGGACATGGTACATCTCTGACAGGATCTCAATGTTGAACCACTTTGATAGTCTGGACATGGTACATCTCTTACAGGATCTCAATGTTGAACTATTTTGATAGTCTGGACATGGTACATCTCTTACAGAATCTCAATGTTGAACTATTTTGATAGTCTGGACATGGTACATCTCTTACAGAATCTCAATGTTGAAACATTTTGATAGTCTGGACATGGTACATCTCTTACAGAATCTCAATGTTGAAACATTTTGATAGTCTGGACATGGTACATCTCTTACAGAATCTCAATGTTGAAACATTTTGATAGTCTGGACATGGTACATCTCTGACAGGATCTCAATGTTG